GCAAAGAAAGTTTGAGCAAAGACCATCTACATGTCCAGTTTGTGACGAGAACCATAGAATTTACGATTGTTCAACGATCTTCCTTATGATGACAAACTCAACAAGATTAAAGAACTAAGGCTTTGTTTTAGTTGCTTGGCTAAGTTCACATCATCGAAGAAAGAGAGCCTGTGGCAAAAATGGCTGTGTTAGATTACACAACACACTCCTTCACACGGACCCACCAACAGCAAGCAGCGTTTCAACTCTGACAAGGCTGGAATACTACATGTACTACGTGCCAAGTTCCGGCCATCTGGTGTACGCTACGTCTGGGGAAATGTGTTAATAGACAGTGGAGCAGGAACAACAATTATACGCAAGGCATTTGCTCAAGAGCTTAATTTACAAGGAGCTAAAGAGAGAATAGATTTGGCCGTAGTTGGAGGAAAGCAAGTTCACCAAAAAGATAGTAGAAGAGTGAAATTTAAAATTTTTGCTATGAATGGAGCCGAAGAATACACAATAGAAGCCCACGAGTTAGACACAACGGTAATAGATGTCCCCAACTTGAATAGAAAATGGCTTAAATCCTTTCCACATCTTACAGACATTGTTGATGATTTTAAACACAAAGGTGGACCTGTAGAACTTGTTCTTGGAGTACATTATAGTCATATACACGCAGATGAAGAAATTCGGCAAGGCTTACCATACGAACCACTAGCAAGAAAAACTAAACTCGGATGGTACGTCATTGGTCCAGATAGCAGTTTGAGAGTAGCACAACTTTGTTCTGTTAGTTTTGTAGAGAAAAGAGACTTACAGAAATTTTATGAACTGGAAACTATTGGAATTCAAGCACCAGACTGTTCATGTCCAGTAAAAGCTCTATCATTAGAAGACAAACTAACCATGAAGGTTTTTGAAGAAACTTGCAAACGAGAAGGAGATAGATATTCCATAGGCCTACCATGAAAGACCCGTCATTATTACCAAATAATTATCTGGTTGCAGAAAGAAGATTAAAGTCATTAGAGAGAAGTCTACTAAAAGATCCAGTGAAAGCAGATCTCTACAACAAAGTCATCAACGACTATGAGCAAACGGTTGGGCAACAGAAGTCAAACCAAAGGACGTATGTCGTGAAGATCAGCCTGTTTACTATTTGCCTCACCATGGTATATATAGACCAGAGAAACAGAGTACACCTCTAAGAGTCGTCTTTGATCCTGCAGTATTGGTAAATGGAACATCATTGAATTCATTCCTTTGTAAAGGACCATGCCTCATTGGGAATTTACTAGAGGTTTTGATACACTTTCGAGAGAACACAGTAGCAATCATGGGAGACATTTCCAAAATGTTCCTTCAAATTTTATTATAGGAAAGAGACACCCAAGTCCATAGATTTCTTTACAGACTTTTACGTGTAGCCTTTGGGGACAAACCTTCACCAGCCATGGCAAGCTATGTCCTTTTACAGATCGCTGCGGAGAAAAAAGATTTATATCCAGAAGCAGCCAAGATTCTAGAAAGAGATCGCAACATGGATGACCTAATAAGATCTTGTTACACAGCAGATGAAGCAATGGATTGCATTAACCAGCTAGAAACTGTCCTCAACATCGGAAGTTTCAAAGTCAAGCAATGGTTCTGTTCAGATGAAAACGTGCGTCAGCGATTGAAGGGATCATCATTTATAGAAGATGTAAATATTAAAGCTTCAAATACCATTGAATTTAAATCTGACGGAGATACAAGTACCAGTACTTTAGGAATTGGATGGGATCCAGAGCCAGACATCATAAAATTTCCTGTTAAAGATATAACAGTTGAGAACCTAACGAAGAGAACTGTCTTGTCAAAGGTAGCTATGTTCTACGACCCACTAGGGTTAGCGTCAGGAGTAACCGTAAGAGCTAGGATTGCCCTACAAGATGTATGGAGATTAGCACTAGATTGGGACGACCCACTACCTCAAGAATTTCATCCAACATGGTACGACTTATTTTCTGATCTTAACAAATTGGCAGGAATTAGATGTCTAAGACCTAAAGATGCTATTGGAAAACCTGAATTACACTTCTTTGGAGATGGAAGTGGTAAAGCTTATGGAGGAATGGCTTATCTACTATGGAATACACCAAGATCATCAGAAGTAAGATTAGTGTCGGCCAAGGCAAGAGTTGCCCACTTCGTCAAACTACCATACCCAGATTGGAGTTGATGGCAGCATTGATTTCCTCAAGACTGGCTAGAACCATCTATGATGCACTGGAAACCAAACCTTCAAGACTAGTACTATGGTCCGATTCTCAGGTGGTATTATTTTGGTTACGTTCTGCAATCTTGAAGCCTTTTGTGGGATTACGTGTAGCAGAGATTCAATCTACATGGGGTCCTGATAAATTTAGATATGTATCCACTGAGCTTAATCCTGCTGATGATTTGAGCAGAAGAATAACTGTAGATCAACTTAAGGAGAGATGGATGCATGGTCCCTCATTCCTACGATTACCAGAATCTGAATGGCCTACAGACTTGCAAGAAAACTTAGAACCTGACGCAGAATTCAACTACCCAAAATTGTTTGTCCTGTAATTAAAATTCGGGGAAGGGAGGGTTTGATTCTCCCAAATGTACAGGCCTAGGGTGGAGCAGACACTTTATTTAGAAATTAGGATTAAGGGTCTTGATATTGGGTTTTCTTCTGTTCTTATTCTGATCTGAAATTAGAAGAAATAACTCGCCCATGTATAGTATCTGTCATGTACTGATTGTTTTTAGTTTACTATGAACAATATTATCATTTAAGTTCTTATTTTTTGAATATGCAACTATCATTTTCTGCTTATAGACATGGGGGAATTTCTCTTGAAGGCTCTTATAGTGGGCATGAACTATCTTGCTTGCTCGATTGCTGGTTGTATTAAACGGGACAACGAAGGGTGCTATGCCTACATTATGATGAATATTTAGTCCTATAGGTCTTGCTGTATTCAATGTCTCAATCCAATGGGCTTCCCTAGATTGACGGAATTTGGTAGTTTCATCTTCGGGCAAGTCAATTTCTATACGCTCAATTGGGATTAGGGTGAGATCGTCTATTGAATGGTCGTCGAGGTTGAAATGATTAGAAACAGGCTTGTCTTTCTTTAATTTGATGTCTGACCTATGAGCATTAAAACGAGTTCGTAAATTATTCTTAGTTTCTCCTACATATTGTTTGGGGCATTTCTTGCATGAAATTAAATATATTACATTCGAATGTTCACATGTTAGATGTTCCTGGATCGGGTACCTTTTATTCGTAGAGTTGCTTACAAAATAATGAGTTTCTGATATAAAGGGACATGTTTTGCATCTACTGGACAAACATGGAGCACTTCTTAAACCTGGAGGTACTTCGGCATAAAGTCTGTTTTTAGCTGCTATCTGTGCTAAGGTGGAATTTTTTATGTTTCGTAAAAATCGTTTAGAGTACCCACGCTCTTTCAGTTTTGAGAGAACAATCGTACAGGCTTGGTTGAAATCAGAATAGGATAGAAAAATAAGAAAAAAGACCCGTAAAATTCTATTTCATTTCATAACTAATGCTGTTGGCCTATGAGGCTGTATTGTAAAAATTCTTCAGGCCTAAATGAAATAATGTAGTCTATACTCTTCAGGTTTTTTTTTTTGGTTGGGTAGGGTAGGCATACGTAGAATTATTTGGCCTACCGATTATTGTTACATGAATTGAGATATCATCTTCAAAATAGACAATAGAGTATGGTCTAAAACACACATTAGTAATATTAAGTTTGATTGAAATATAATTTTATTTCTTCTATAGCCTACATATAATTTTTATAAGTAAAGATAGCTTGCGAGGCAATGTAACATACGCCCACTGGCAGCTGTCAGAAATGATAAAAAAGTCTTTAGTGAGTATGAATTTTCTTATATTGAAGAAATTTTATTAGTGTGAATTCAATTACATATATATGCCAGTTATTTATGCTGAGTAATTCCACAAAAAATTTTAAAATCAATATCAATAACCCAAATACAACAAACAATTAAATCAAACATGTCTAATCAAGGGCAAAAAACAACTTTTGACGCGTGTTAACAAAGTCAAGGGCAATAACTCGCAAACCATTCATCGAAAATGCGTCAAGTTAGAACTTGTCCGAGATCTTATTAATTCCAATGATCATACCAAGTTTCATCAGGTCGGTTGAAAACTGTAGCGTCAATCCTGCTCACAAATTTTGACGCGTTTTAACAAAGTCAAGGGCAATAACTCAAAAACCGTTCATCGAAAATACGTCAAATTCGAACTTGACCGAGATCTTATCAATCTAAAGCATCACATCAAAATCAGATGAAAACTAGTCTCTATAGTTCTCACGATAAATGTTGACGGACGGACCGACGGACAGGAGCGACGACAATATACGACCACATATTCATGTGGGTGTATAAAAATAAGGTTTCGGAAACAAGCCGAGGCTTAAGCTTATCCGTCACCAATTAGGCCTACAATGTACAGAAAACCTAGGCCTAAATGAATATATGAATGAATAAATAAATGAATTAGCATACTAATATATATGATAATTTAATAATAAAATAGTTTAATGAATACCACAATTAAATATATGAAAGAAAACAAAAGTGCATGATCTAACCATAGAACTGTAATATAGTAAGCCCTATAGGCCAAGTATATAGGCCTATAGTTTTATGATTTAACCGAATGTAGAAAAGAATAAAAGAAAAAATGCCATAGACCTGATACAAAGTTTCAAAGTACTGACGTATAATAATATGACACTTTACTCGACGTTGCAAATAAATCGCATGGCGTTGATCTATCATTTATGAAACACAAATCTTATAATCAATTTTAACTATAAAATTCTGCTTGCCAGGTACATTAGCAAGAGTATATTCACCGACCGTCAATCATGTGAAGAATTACTCCCCCTTCATAACTCTTCTCGTGGTGCTATGGCAACTGATATTAATAACAATATGGCTGTCCAAAGTTTATTTACGTTTTGTGTTTTGGAATGATGTTCTGTAAATTAGGCTTTTGTTTCAATGAGAATGTGTCAAAAATGTTTGAAATCAAATGTTTTTGCTTGATCCCCTCATAATCATCCGACTGGATAAAGCTGTCAGGGTTGGTTAAGGTACAATTTTTATAAGCTTATTTTATTTTAATTCTTTCTACCACAAAACACAGTTTGCCCTAACACAGTGTGCTCAAATTTCTTTTTTCTATCATCTCATAATTAATTTAAATAGAATTTTGAAGTAGTAGAACTGAACATAAAAATAAAATTTTCAAACTCGGTCAATCCAATGTAACACTCTTGACTCTGAGTAACAATATAATTCAAGTACAGTGGTGTAACCTATTTTCGTGCATATAAGGATTCAACACCGAATTTCGTCAAAGTTAAAAAAACAGAATTTTTTTTATATGTCTCAGATATTCTACAAAATAATTAAAATTGGTTTATTACGACTTCGATCCATACGTACATGACCCTCGTCACCGGGTCATTTGTCTTGTCACATGATAAACCAGCGTTTATTTCCCCATAACGATAACAAGATCCACATTCATTCCTTAAATATATCATACAGGATTTAAGTTTATATCAAATATGGATGTTGACTCTATAAAATATATATATAGACATAGCTTTATGGAACAACAATCACTGGTTAAAGTTTTATGCAACGTTTCGACGTGTTTCCCCCGTCGTCCTCAGGCACATAATGATAAGAAGTGATGGGCAACTATATATACAATATGTATTATGTAAGCTTATTGTTCCATAAAGCTGTGTCTATATATCGTACTCACAATTGCTAAATGCCATTCAAAGACTTGACTCTATAAGTTACATTCTTTTTTCAGAAAAATAAAAAATAGTTCAGTATTGTAACAATGGACTATAAATTTGTTGCTAGTCGACAACTTAAATGTCTACTAAATGATGCAGAAACCAAACAGAAGCAAGATATTCATGCTTACACAATGGGTCATTTGAATAGTTCAAAACTTAGACAACCCCCAAAATTACTGTCAGAGCAAAGAGGATGGAAAACAGGTCCTCCAAGTTCTAGTTTGTTAACATTAAAACACAGTGATAAGACCTATGTAACCAAAGTTCCTGTTCGGCAAAAAGAAATGAAAGATGTGTTATATCAATTTAGTACAGGTACGACTGGCACTTTGCCCAGCTACAAATGTGAAAATGATGTGAAAAAACTGTTATTTCTTCAAGAAAGTTTGTCAAATGCAGAAGTTCCTGAACCGAAATCAAAGTACATTCCTGATGGTGTGTTGATTGAAGAATTAGATGCCCAAGAAATATGTATGCATTCACCAAAATCTCTAACAGAAACATCAGATGATACAACTGATATGGAGATGAATTTTAAAACTTTTCCAAAAACTGAAACTGCAATAAATAATCCCCTCAGGCACTCTTTTATACCTGGTCAAAGTTCAGGAATCACTAAACAAGATCAGTACCGAACATACCGACAATTTGAATCTAGTATTATTAGAAAGAGAGAAGCTCAAGAAACTAAAGTTTTATCTGGAAATCAAGCTGTATTTCACCATGAAAATCATTTAAGACAGGTAAAAACTTAATACAGCTGCATCCAAGTCCAAATTTGCATAGAGCTATTAGTTATATCTAAGGCAGAACCTCGATTCTTTCCTTCTGTGGATGTATTCGTTGGATAAAAATAATCGTGATGTATCGGTCTGATTAATTCTTAGCCCCCTTTAATAACAAATGACACAGAATCATTGTGTGTATAAGAAATTGTGTCATGTTTTCATTTTCCGAGTATGATTTTCAAAAATTTGCAGCAATTTAATTCTGACTTTAAAATTGAGATTTTTTTCACAATTCATTACTTTTAAATGTTCTCAAGTGCTTAATAGTGACAAAATTGTTAGTAATTTTACAAATTTCTACTTTTTTTTCTCTTTCCTTCTCTAATAAATGAATCGTATCGTTGAGTACTGTATAGTGTATCGAATCGCAACTTCAAGAATCGTTGCAGCCCTATTTATATCTCATCATGATTCAAGTCAAAATAGCTAATCAAATAGAATCTACAGTCCTTATACAATTATGATAAAACTTGTTATTGTCTGTTTTGATTATTTTCAAATATTAATCATAGTAATGCTTGTAATCATATTGCAATGATGTTATTTTCAGGCCATATTTAATCTTTATTTTTTTTTTTTTTAAGGGACTCTCTACTTTAAAAGGGCATGTTTCTGGTCCTAATTTTCACAAGCTACAAGTTCACAGTAATGTATTTGATGATATCACAGAAGAAAGTCCTACATTTAAGTTTATCTTACAGGACATTAAGGTAAGACAAAGAAAAAGGAATGAAAGAAACAACTATATTTTACAAGGATAACATCTTAGGTTTTTACAGGATCCTTTCTACCAGCTGGTCCTTGGCCAAACCTCTTGGCATTGATCTTTCCCGGATTATCTGTACCCATTTATAATTGGGTTGACTGGAATTATGAGTGAAGATGACTTATTCAATGTCATCCGAATATCACACGCCCATCGAGAATTGAACCCACAGCCACCATTCTCTCAACATAACCAAGCAAATGACAGCATGTAAACAACCAACTCTCTAACCGACTGTGCAAGAGAACCTCATAAATAGTGTAGAATTTACAGAGGTCAGCCCTGTTAACAACAAGGACAGGTCCCTGGCAAGTGAGAATTAAGCCCCAGCTATTGACCTCCCTCAAAACCTTTAGTTCAGTAGAGATTGATTAATTGCAGTGTAATTGGTTTTCGTTGCTCATAGCTGTGGTGCCTCACCTGGACGCAAACGGGTTTGACAGGTGTTTAAGCTTCTAGTTGTATTTAGAACTTTCTGGTCACATTGATCTTTTGTTACATTAATTCCCAATGTAAATGTCATATGATTTAGATATATTTTGATAGGCATTGCATAAATTATAGTAGTCTGTACAAGTTTTTCTAGAATTACAAGAACTACAACTTTTCAACCAGAAATTAGAACAATGCAATTTAAAGGGATTGTAAAGAGGATTTCTATATTTTTTATGTGTATCTGGGAAACTGAAAACATCAATTTGCACCATTCCAATTTTAAATCAGACATCTGTGGTTCCAGCAATTCCACTAAAACAAAGTGTTTGATGACGTCACTAATTGCGAACGAGAATGTGACAAAAGCATATTTTGCGATTAGTGCCATCATCAAACACTTACTTTTTGTGGAATTGCAAGAACCACAGATGTCGGACTGAAAATTAGAATGGTGCAAATTGATGCTATCAGTGTCCCTGATACAATTTTTTTTAGAAAACTTCTTTACAATCCCTTTAAAGTGTCTAAAAACACAAAGACCAGAATTTGATTTAAATCGTTAGGATAATAGAAGAGGAAGTATGTCCCCATTTAGTCAGAGACCTGGTTCATGCAGTCATTTAAATCATGAATTGGAAGAATTACCTTTACATATTTGAATGTTTTTGCAGTTTATAAGCTGGAAACAATATTATACATGTTGTTGATTGAAGATCAGTTACAGGGAGGAAATCCCCATCAAACAATATTTTTTACTATCTTCTGAGTCTTCTGATAGCAAGTGGAAGTGAAAACATGAAATATGTAAACAAAATTTCTGTCTTGTTGAAAATGTATATGACAAACAGAATCGAATGAATTAATTTGGACAGGTTATTATAATTAATATATATGTTTCTCTTGATAACGCTGCCTGTATGAGCATGTGAAACGTTGAGTTAGTAAAGACAGAAATAGTATATCCATATATCTTGTGCTTCTTTACCTATGACTATTTCTATATGTCTTATAAACAGTATTTATGATTTATATTTTAAACAGATTATGATAATTATATCTGTCAATCATAAGAATGTTTTATATTTTAACTCATAAAGTATTTTCATTATTTCAGTCTGCATACGATGATTACATCAGCAAATTATTAGATACACAAACAGCTAAACATCAGTTATTACATGATCAAGTTGAACAAATGGCTGCCAATGCTAAAACACAACCAGAAGAACTTGAATTTGTCAAAAATAAAGTGGAAGATTATGAAATAGAGGCAAAATGGTTACTGGAGGAAAACCAAAGGTTGGTTTCTTGAGTTCAACTCTAAATGAGTCTTGAATAGGTCATGATAATTATTATGATAAATAATGTATTTTGATTTTTCAGTGAAAACCATTGAATCCTCATTCATTTGCCAAGATATAACCTAGCTTGAATCCTCATTCATTTGCCAAGATATAACCTAGCTTGAATCCTCATTCATTTGCCAAGATATAACCTAGCTTGAATCCTCATTCATTTGCCAAGATATAACCTTGCTTGAATCTTCATTCATTTGTTAAGATATAACCTAGCTTGAATCGTTCATTCAGCTTCTTTGAATGTTGCATCAAGTTACTGATTTATTTTACTATGAATTAGAGTAATAAACTGCCTTCAAGCTTTACTGGAATTGTTAAGGTATAAGAAGTGCTGAAACTGAAGGTTCATATTCATTATTTTTTTCTTTTGTGCATAAGTCAAATTAAAAAATTTGCAAAAAAGCAACAGTTGTGATGTACACATATCTTTTCATAATAAACCTCTATTTTTAAGGTTACGTGAAGCAGTAAGAGAAGAAACAGATTTATTAGCATTGACTCCAGAAATAGGTAATACTATGATCATGTCTTTATAACCAACTGTTCTGTGATTAGAATCCTTTTAATAATCAATTTATAACTACTGTTTCAAAGTGCATCACAAAAGGCAGTATATAATACGTCTTAGAATAAATACATACATGAATATATTAGTAACAGTACATGAATATTAGTAACAGTTCATGAATATTAGTAACAGTTCATGGATATTAGTAACAGTACATTAATATTAGTAACAGTACATGAATATTAGTAACAGTACATGAATATTAGTAACAGTACATGAATATTAGTAACAGTACATGAATATTAGTAACAGTACACGAATATTAGTAACAGTACATGGATATTAGTAACAGTTCATGAATATTAGTAACAGTACATGGATATTAGTAACAGTACATGAATATTAGTAACAGTACATGAATATTAGTAACAGTACATGGATATTAGTAACAGTTCATGAATATTAGTAACAGTACATGGATATTAGTAACAGTACATGAAAATTAGTAACAGTACATGAAAATTAGTAACAGTATATGAATATTAGTAACAGTATGAATATTATTAACAGTATATTAACAGTATATGAAAATTAGTAACAGTACATGAATATTAGTAACAGTACATGAATATTAGTAACAGTACATGAATATTAGTAACAGTACATGGATATTAGTAACAGTACATGAAAATTAGTAACAGTACATGAATATTACTAACAGTACATGAATATTAGTAACAGTACATGAATATTAGTAACAGTACATGGATATTAGTAACAGTACATGAAAATTAGTAACAGTACATGAATATTACTAACAGTACATGAATATTAGTAACAGTATATGAATATTAGTAACAGTATATGAATATTAGTAACAGTATGAATATTATTTACAGTATATTAACAGTATATGAAAATTAGTAACAGAACATGAATATTAGTAACAGTATATGAATATTAGTAACAGTATATGAATATTAGTAACAGAACATGAATATTAGTAACAGTATATGAATATTAGTAACAGTTTATGAATATTAGTAACAGTACATGAATATTAGTAACAGTACATGGATATTAGTAACAGTTCATGAATATTAGTAACAGTACATGGATGTTAGTAACAGTACATGAAAATTAGTAACAGTACATGAAAATTAGTAACAGTATATGAATATTAGTAACAGTATGAATATTATTAACAGTATATTAACAGTATATGAAAATTAGTAACAGTATATGAATATGAAGATTTTCTTGAAGTGACAAACCAACTCGATAACGGACTTTCATTGTCATATAAAGTAGAAATTAGGAAATATTAAAGGGCCAGACTGGTTTTTACAATGAGCTTTTGTGGTCTTGATCGTGAAATACATAATACTTCATGCCAACATGTAGTGGGCCTACCTTTCGTGAAAGCGTTAAGTCACAATCGATGAAATAATTCTTAAAAGGTTACGTAAGTATTTTTAATCTCACAGCCTCCATTTTTACTGTTCTGGAAAATAGCGATTTGAGACATCAATTTTGACCAATTGAATCAATCAACATTAACTACATATATTTCCGACCAGAGGACGTGGTAGAAAATAAAAGTAGCGATCAACTTAGTTATTTTCATTTCTCATTACTGTAATTTTGTGAATTTTGCTATAATGATAATAATCCATAATTTACATGTAACAACTGGAGAAGTACACAAGGAAAGTTAATTTTTACATTTCTGATCGAAAAATTTGTACATGTCAGTAGTCTTGGAATTCCTTTCCCAGATGCTAAGAAACCATTCAGGAGAAATCACCTGCCTCGTATTAATTATAATAGGAAACTTTAAATTTAATGCTTTAAACAATTCCCCAGTAGCCAAGTAAATTTATAGAAAGTATTTAAAGGGTTTCACACATAATAAGCGTAATTCTTCACGTTGAAAATAAACCGGTCTATCCCTTTAAAACGACCATACTCAAACTTGAGGTCATTTGTATATTTTACAGAACCCATACCCAAGGTGATTAGTGTGCGGAATGATGAACCTCCAGCAGAATTATCAGAAGAGTTACAACACACCAAAGCTTTAATATTAGAGAAAATGGATGCATTGAATAAATTACATGCCAATTTACGTGAAGATCATGTTCCATTAACTGTTTGTACACATTTAGAACAATGTATTAAAGAGACAGAGGTAAGAGAAACTATTATTGAACTTATTTGAAGTATAGTTATTATTCCAAATGGGACAAAGTGATCTAATCACATCTGGTAAAGATCCAAAACATATTGCAACTGTCCAACTTATCAGCAGAATTTAAATAACTTATGTTTTTTTAATAGATTGAAGTACAGAAGTTATTAAAACAAAATGAATATTTTGAGAAAAGTATTAATGATATGGAACATGATTTAAAAGAAGCAATTACAGATGCAGATACCAGTGAAAAAGATGCAAGGTGAGATTTAACATTTGATCTATGACTAAAGGCAGATAATATTAGTTATAAAGTGACAAGGAGATGAAGAGTGGTTTGATTCCCCGAGGTTGTTCACATCTAAGTGTATGAAATCTGACTGACAAATTTTATCCTATGACTTAATCCTATGATATGTGAGATCTTGCCTATAAACATTTACATATACCCAGTTTCATCATACTTTAGACTCTAACCTGAAGGACCAGGGTTCAATCCCGGCATAGGTCGAGATGTTACCTTCGGATTTTTTAACCTGGTTTCCCCCTGTCAGTGATGCATGTCAGGGCTGAGATGGAAAAAGTGTTTAGTCGTTTGGATGGGACAATAAACTGAGGCCCCTTGTGTAACAGGCTGTGCGTGTTAAAGATCCCTCGACAATTGGACATGCTAATGCTGCTGTCCTGGCAAAATTTCGGTCATTGCACCTTGCATGGCGTTGACTATCTTCATCAGCCCACAGGGTGCATTTCATTCATACTGTAGACTCTAGCAATTGTTTGCGGATAGCCTAGCATAATAGCAATATAAGTGTACTTTATAATATGGGTGTATATGAATTTGAAGGTATATTGACAGCACATTATATAAGGTTATTACCTATATAAAAGCAGGCAGCACCAATCAATCACAGAAGCTTTTCACCAAAACCATTAGTACTATAGAAGTACGATTTATTTCATGTATAATGAATTTATTGTCATAGATAATAAAACTTGATATCAAGTACCATCATTTAATATTAAAGTTCTATATTTTAAGTCAAGTTTTATTATCTATTTCATACTACGTGTATACAACTGAATTGTCTTTTATTATTGTCTTGTACTAAAAGGCACTGTAGAATCTTATCTCTGAGCTTAGTAACCTGTTAAAAAAAATCTCTGAACTCTAAGTATTCCTACACTCTTGGTAATCTGACATTGTTTTGCCGATTACACAAAGTAAACTGTATATGTGGGTATATAAAAATCATTTTTATACGCCCACATGAAATGGGGGGCGTATATTGCCGTCACCCATGTCCGTCGGTCGGTCCGTCTGTCGGTCCGTCCATCCGTCCGTCCACAATTGCTCGTAAACACTCTACAAGACACAATTCTTGACGAATTTTGACAAAACTTGGTATGAGTGTTCATAATCAAGAATCGAAAAATATTTACTATGAGTTATTGCCCTTGTTCTTGAAAACGCGTTCAATTTTTAGCTCGTAAACACTCTAGAAGACACATGGATTTTGACGAAACTTGGCATGAGTGTTTGTTATCAACCAAGGATAAACCCTATTGAAAATCAGAAAAACCGAACAATATCTAGTATGAGTTATTGCCCTTGTTCTTGAAAACACGTTCAATTTTTAGCTCGTAAACACTCTATAAGGCACAATTCTTGATGGATTTTGACGAAACTTGGTGTGAGTGTTCGTAATCATCCAAGGATGAACCCTATTGAAAATCAGAAGAATCGAAAAATATTTAGTATGAGTTATTGCCCTTGTTCTTGAAAACTCGTTCTATTTTTAGCTCGTAATCATTCTAGAAGGCACAATTCTTGATGGATTTTGACGAAACTTGGTGTGAGTGTTCGTAATCACCCAAGGATGAACCCTATTGAAAATCAGAAAAATTTAAAAATATTTAGTATGAATTATTGCCCTTGTTCTTGAAAACGCTTTAAAATTTGGCTCTTAAACACTAAAAGGCATGATTCTTTCTGGATTTTGACAAAACTTGGTTTTATTATTCAGTCTAGCGCTGAAGATTGAATATTTGCCTTAGAGTTTTCACGAGCTAAAAATTGAACACGTTTTCAAGAACAAGGGAAATAACTCATACTCCATATTATTCAGTATCGCTGTAAACAGTTCAAAAGAAGTGTATGACTGAAGGTTGAATATTTCATACTGGTGATTGTTACTTTACTGCTAAATATTTTTATTCAAAATCAAAACTGCCAGTGGGCATATATTACCTTGCCTGGCAAGCTATCTTTCGAAAAAAGATTTTACAGCAAGCAATGTGTGTATCTGAAAGTATGGGTTTTTTCTCTAAAATGTCCCTTCTAAATTATTGCTAAATGATTTATTTCAACAGGAGAATCTGGAGAAAGGTGAATTCATTACGAGCTCAACCTGGTGATGATGATGAAGATGAGGGCAAATGGAATTGGTATATTTCTTAAGGAAATATCCTGAAATCATGAATTGCTAAATGGTACAGTACTAATGAATTATATTGATTGGTGGTATTAAAACTGAATTGTTAAATGGTTTTAAATATTATTGAAATTCTAAACTGCTGAATTGTCACAGGCAATAACTCAGAAACAAGTTTTATTAAATCTGATCTAAATTGTTGCCTCTAATGCAGACAAACTTTGATGTATTTGAGAACAAATAACTAAAAATTAATTGAAATCTCATTTGACAACAGAAAATAGTTTTTGTCCCAAACACAGTTTTCTGTATGTATATATTAGGGAATGACCATGAATGAACTATGTTTTGGAAACTGAATATGAATTAAAATTTTGAGGAATTAAATGTGTGGTTGAAATCAAGCATGATTCGGACTAATCTGTGATCCATGCAAAAGCTTTTTTTCCTCAAAGTAATCTGTCAAACAACATCAGTGTCATTGACCAATGGATGTCCACTGCTATCAGGTCACAATCTGCGTGCTAGTTGGACATGTTGTTTTGCATGGTTCACAACCCTGTCAATCTTTCACCTATTCTTTTTAAATGTAGGGCAACAGTTTAGATTTTATGTCAACAAAACCTGGACTTTTTTGGATAGGATCTCAGATGAATTGAAATTTGTCCATGAACAGTTTATCATGCATACAAGCCAAATTTAACACGTTTTTACTAAGTCAAGGGCAATAACTCTGAAACCGTTCATCCGATGAATTCCAATTTCGAACTTGACCAAGATCTCAACAATATATTCATGCATACTAAGTTTCATCAAGATCAGATAAAAATTGCAGCCTTTATCATGCATACAAGCCAAATTTAGTAACACATTTTTACTAAGTCAAGGGCAATAACTCTGAAACCATTCATCCGATTATTACCAATTTCAAACTTGACCGAGAACTCATCAATTTATACATGCATACCAAGTTTCATCAAGATCAGATAAAAACTGTAGCCTCTATCATGCATACAAGAAATGTGGATGGACGTACGGACAGGGACGACGACAATATACGTCAACATTTCCATGTGGGCGTATAAAAATGACCAAAATTGGCATATACGAGGTTTCAAGCGGTCACCCACGATATTCCAAAATGATGAATTATGTATTTCTTTGGGATGAAGATTGATTTTAAGTATGGTGAGGAATGCCCAGGCAAACTATATTTTTTGTACATCCAAATGTATTCAGAATATATAAACAATGACAATGACAGTCAAATAAACTGTTTTTTATGTGGTTGAAACTATAGTAGTCATATTCTGTATTGAGTCTATTACAACTTCCTCCATCTTCAAAATGTCCAGCTGTTACAAACTGCCCCTTATACCTTGACAACATGCACCACTTTTCTTGTATTGTAACATAATCAAAGCCCTAAATATGAAGACTGTAAAATCAATCAAATCACTGTATTTACAACCTTCCATGATAATAGCTTGTGAAGATGCATTTCAACTATCTCAAAACACATCTCTTATTTTGAATATTCCAGAATGAGACGCTGCATATGAACACAAAGGAAACCAACAAGACATTGATCATAAAATAGTTTATTTAACTTTGTCATGCTAATAAAATAACAAAATAAGATCTAAGACATTGACACAATAAAGGTCTTATATTTTATAATGATTAATAATAATATTGTTCTCCAAGTACCAAAAGCCATAAAATGTTATAATAGACTAACAAAACACATATAATAGAGGATAATGAATGTTTTTTGGCTGTGCTTTGAAGAAATGACAGACAACTCAAAAAAAAAGGAGTAGTATGTCCACAAAATTTCATTTCAGACTGAATTCAACTTGTAGTATACAGGTTAAGGAAGGGTTCCCTTATTTTCATTTATTGAAATACTTATATGAATAGAAAGTAGGTGTTCTAAACTTCTAATGACTTGTAAAAAATACCAGTTTTTCCATGATGTCCATAATTAATTCATAATTAGCTAAATTAGAAGAAAATTACCAGCAGAATTTCAATGAGTGACCGATCAAGAAAGGTCAACAAGTCTTTTTTTGTTTATCCAGACTGTACATACATGGACATTTATGATGGGTTAAACTCTTAATTACATGCAATAAGAACATAATGATATGATTAAGAATACATGATAATTAATTATAAAGACTGATTAATCGAATAGTTTGCTCAATTTGAAACAAAAAAAAAATAAGGATACCCATCTTTAATATATCTATTTCTATAGCAAATCACCTAAATAAAAAACAAAACTTAACAATTTTTAACTTTTTGTCATTAACATTTTTCATGAGAATGTTATATTTTCTGTCAATTCTAGGATTATTGAGATTACATTATTCAGATAGTTCATCTAGAGCCTGACACTAACTTATTCCATTTGCTAACAAATTTATATAAAATGCATCGGAACTAAACTCAGTGTTACCAATTGCTAATCTTGTATTTCAATCATTATTGAATCTTGCAGAAAATCTACTTCATGAAGTGATATGAACAACACAAAATTTAGAAGATACAGAGCCAATTAGCATTAAATTCAAAAATGGTAATAAAAAAAATAATACCGGTTATTTAATTTTGATTAGTTTCAGTACTGAGTTTTTCATTTTAAAGACAGAAATATAATGTAGTAATTATTATGCTATTAAGATATAATAATTTTTAAACATGGTATGTAGAAGAAGATACTGTACCACCATGACCTGTCCAATTATTATGGACAAATTCACCAGGTTTAGATAATAATTCATATGTGTGAGCGCCAAAATAATCACGCTGAGCCTGAAATCAATAGAATAAACATAGAATAGATAAAGGCACACTATATTGTTACAGCAGCTGTTAACAGTAAAATTTGAACCGTATATATGTATATTGTATTCATTTCTATATTGTGAATCAGACATCAATATTCAATATTCATATTCTAACTCATCATCCTGATACATTTTGGTATAACATGTTTCTTAAAGGGACAGTATGCAAAATTTTCAATATTAAAAACAGAGTAAAAAAAAAGCTTGAAAAGCATTTTACTACAATGTATCTACTTGATCAAACTGAGTAAGCAAGCCGTTTAAACTAGCTTAGGTGTTTGATCCTTAATTTGATAATTTCAGTTGAAACCTTCAGAATGAATAGGTGACATATTTTTCTACAATTTGGCATTTTTGTGGACAATAACTTCAAAACTTTTGGAATAGTTTAAGCATTGAAAATTAATTGCAAGATACTTTGTGTTAAAACTTTCAAATAAGGTAAGGGGCATATTTCTCTAGATTTTGGTGAAAAGTTTTCACTTACATTATAAATAGCTTTGCAAAGCAAAGTGACATACGCCCACCACCAGCTACATCAGTACAAATCATTGTTCGTTGTCCATTCACATTTGGATCGTGTTTAGTTTATAGAGAATTTTAAGCAAACTTTATTATATCGCATCATGGCTAGTTTTTATCAATGGACTGACGGACTGACGGCAATGCTTCTATACTGCGTGTGAGCATACAGAGTGAAATTGTAGCCTGTAGAGTTTGCACAAGTTGTACTTATAGCTAACAGAGTGAATTTGCTAAGTTCACTTGCAAAAATTTTCATAATGTCATTGACCCACAAAAAATAAATCAAAAGGAATCCATAAAGAATTGTAGCCAGTAGAGTGAGAACCAGCCATGTCTGAACGGACAACAATATGCTTCCATACTATATGTGGGCATATAAAAATCAAAAGAATCTATAAAGAATTGTTGCTTGAAAAATGAGAAAATGTTGCACAAATAGCTAATAGAGTGAATTCACTAAGTTGGTAAAAAATATCAGATCATCAAGAAAATCGATAGGTATCATCTTCATAATGACATTGACCCACAAATAAAAATCAAAAGAATCCGTAACGAATTGTAGCCTGAAGAGTGAGCACGAGCCAAATGTGAACTGATGAACCGACAGGGTGATTATAATATACGCCCAAACTATGTAAGTGTTTTAAAAATCAGACTGCCTGTTCAAATTTTAGATTTTTTTTTGATCTTATAGCCAGATTGAAAGTTTATGAAAATCAGATTTAAAACTGACAACGAATTGTAGCCTGAAGAGTGAGCACGAGCCAAATGTGAACGGATGAACCGACAGGGTGATTATAATATACCCCCAAACTATGTAAGTGTTTTAAAGATAGCTTGCCAGGCAAGGTAACATACGCCCACTGGCAGCTGTCAGAAATGATTAAACAGTCTTGAGTGACTACAGGGTTGCACAATATAGCTAATAGAGTGAAACGTCAAGTCAGACACGATATTTCGGTGAAATATTATCCGATCATCGCGAAAATCGATAGGGATCATCTTCATAATGACATTGACATACAAAATAAAAATCAAAAGAATCTGTAAACAATTGTAACCTGTAGAGTGACCACGAGTTGCACAATATAGCTAATAGAGTAATATGTCAGGTCAGACACGATATTTCGGTGAAAAATTATCCGATCATCATGAAAATCAATAGGGATCATCTTCATAATGACATTGACATACAAAATAAAAATCAAAAGAATCCATAAAGCACGAGCCAAATGTGAACGGACGGACCGACGGGGTGATTACAATATACGCCCATCTTACGTGTGGGCGTATAAAAATCAGACTGCCTGTTCAAATTTTAGATAAATTTTTAATCTTATAGCCAGATTGAAAGTTTATGAAAATCAGATTTAAAACTGACAACCAAGAAGGGGTGACGACAATATAATATGTTACAATCAAACTGTCTGATGAAAACCAGAAATAACATAAATATAGAAAGAAATTTTACCTGAATAAGATTAGCTGGAAGTCGTTCACTGCGATAACCATCAAAGAATGCCAGAGCAGTACTAAATGCTGGAGTTGGAATACCTAATGTTACTGCAGTGGCAACAACCTTTCTCCAGGATTCCTGAAATGATCAATTAGCTGCTTTGTGATTTTCAATATACAATATAACAACTGAGATGTGATATTATATAGTAACACAACAATCATAACATGTTCCAAAACAATTAGTGCTAGCACAATATATCATAGAATTGATGGTTAAATAATGTAAATAATCAACGTAGTTTTGAATTTATAATTTCAATTATCGATTACAAAATGGATACCCATAATTATTATAGGTTCATATCTAAATCACCTTGAAGTGTGTCTCAAATCCGATCCACAAAATATGGTTTGTCATAATATAAGACATGATATGTGTTGTATCGTATATAGATTAGATACATCAAAGTTTGAAGATATATTGTTACATTTTATCTATGATTGCCTTATATCATGACCCTGAATTAAATTCACTCTTATTGACCCAACATCTGTTACAATAAAAAAATAATATATTTATTTCGTACAAAATATAGTTCACAAATATAAATATACATAACAATATTTCATATGAAAGCATGTTCTATAAATGTAAATAAAATCTATTACCTGACATTTTTGAACTTCGTTCATAAAGAATTGATCTAACAGTAAGTTGCTGAGCTCTGGATTTTTATCATAGGCTTGTTTAATATTACCCAAGAAAACACTGTAATAAAACATTTAGAATGCTATTGGACTATAATCATGATATATGCCATTACACACTCATATATATATCATAACAAATACAGTAGTTTAAATGTTCCACAATAAAGTTTAAATGAAATGAACGGATTTTTAAGTCCTCCTTTTCTGCAACATGTGGGCTAATGAAGATGGGCAACATCATGCAGGGTGCAATGAGTGAAATTTTTCCAGGACAACAGCATTAGCATGCTCTTTTTCGATTTCATAGTTCAAGGTGTAATTATTAACAATAATCCATGCAAAAGAAACATTTTCACAATGGGCTGCAGCAAATATGTTGAGTCTCATAGTGCATTATGTATCCCAATATAATAATAAATATGTGAGAAAGTGAAAATCACCTTCTAATAATACATCCACCTCTCCACATTAAAGCTATACTTCCAAAATTTAATTCCCATTTAAACTCTTTAGCTGCTTCTCTCATTAACATAAAACCTTGTGCATATGATACTATTTTTGATGCATATAAGGCCTGCAAGTAAAAGTGTTTATATTTGTTTTACCATTAGATAGTTTTAAATTAAAGATTTCCCGTACACAAAATGCTATCATCAGAGCTAGTTTGTACCTTCACACAATAAACTTGGTATGTTTAGCATTGTACATGTATTAAAACATTAATGCTAAAAGGGGTATTCCATTTTTTATGTAGGTCAAAATTTGTGAAAACTTTACACCAAAATTTAGAGAAATGTATCCCATAACATATCTGAAAATTTAATTAATAAAAGCCAGCCGTTAATTTGTTAATGCTAAAATTATTTAAAAGTTTACGCAAAGCTTTCAATTTGTTATGCTTTTTGGAAGCTGTTAGAAAAAACCATACGGATTTAAGTAAAATAAACGCCTAATTGTAGAGAAATATGTCTCCTACAAATTCTAAAGGCTTAAACTAATAATATCGAGCCATTATGAAGTCAAACAGCAAAAGTAAGTCAAACTGCTTAATTAACAATTAGTACTCTCCGTTTTTAATTCACAATTTTAAAACAAATTCAGTTTGATCAAGTAGATACATAGATATAAATAGAATACTAGAAATATTTTCAAGTATAATTTATGGCGTTTTTCATAATGAGAATGTTTTATAAAAAAAGCGGAATGCCCCTTTAAGTTGCAAGAAAAAGAAACAATCAGTTCTATATAAGATATTTACAATTGCCACAAAAAAATAAGTATAAAATACAAAAAAGATAGCTTGTCAGGCAAGGTAACATACACCCACTGGCAGCTGTCAGAAATAATAAAACAGTCTTTAGTGACTAAAGTACGACTTTTCTCATATTGAAGAAATTTTATTAGTTTGAATTCAATTATATATATATATATGTCAGTTATTTATGCGTAATTCCACAACATTTTTTTAAATCAATATCAATAACCCAAATACATCAAATTATCTCATCAATATACATGATCACACCATGTTTCATTAAAATCAATTGAAAACCGTAGTCTCTAATGTGTTCACAAAGTCAAGAGCAGTAACTCAAAGATCGTTCATCGAAATATCATCAAATTCGAACTTGTCCAAGATCTCATCAATATAAATGATCAAATCAAATTCCATTCAAATCAGTTGAAAACTGTAGTCTGTATTGTGTTCACAAACAAATTTTGTCGCTCATCGAAAGATCGTCAAATTGGAACTTGACCAAGATCTCATCAATATAAATGATCACAGCAAATTGCATTGAAATGAAATGAAATGAATGGAGTTTTACATCCTACTTTTCTGCACCATGTGGGCTAATGAAGACGGACCAAATTCATTAAAATCAGTTAAAGACAGCTTGCAAGGCAAGGTAACATACGCCCACTGGCAGCTGTCAGAAATGATAAAACAGTCTTTAGTGACTAAAGTACAAATTTTTTCATATTGAAGAAATTTTATTAGTTTGAGTTCAATTATATATATATATATGTCAGTTATTTATGCTGAGATATTCCACAAAATTTTTTAAAATCAATATCAATAACTCAAATTTATCAAATAATTAAATCACACAGCTCTTATTGCAAAAACATTTTGACGCGTTTTGACGAAGTCAAGGGAAATAACTCAAAAACCGTTCATAGAAAAATCATCAAGTTCGAACTTGTCCACGATCTCATAAATATAAATGATCACACCAAATTTCATTAAAATCAGTTCAAAACTGTAGTCTCTATTGTGTTCACAAACAAATTTAGTCAAGGGCAATAACTCAAAAACTGTTCATCAAAAATACATCAAGTTAGAACTTATCAATTCCAATGATCACACCAAGTTTCATCAAAATCGGTTCAAAACTGTAGCTTCTAATGTACTCACAAAAAAATTTTGAAGCGTTTTTACAAAGTCAAGGGCAATAACTCAAGATAGCTTGCCAGGCAAGGTCATAACTGGCCACTTTGGTCAATCACTGGCAGCTGTCAGAAATGATAAAACAGTCTTTAGTGACTAAAGTATGAATTTTCCCATAATAAAGAAATTTTAATAGTTTGAATTCAATGATATATATATATCAGTTATGCCAGTTATTTATGCTGAGAAATTCCATCAAATTTTAAAAAATCAATATCAATAACCCAAATACAACAAATTATTGCATCAATTAAAATCAATTGAAAACTGTAGTCTCTAATGTGTTCACAATCAAATTTTGACGCGTTTTTCTTAAGTCAAGGGTAATAACTCAAAGGCCGTTCATTGAAATATCAAATTCGAACTTATACAAGAAATGTTGAAGGACTGACAGACCAACGGACAGTGTGAGAATACAGAGTTTAATAACAGTGGTTAATATTCATAAGGTGCTCTTATTCAAACTTGATCTTCATTTAGTAAATAGTAAGAATGCAAGCACTTCTTTAGTTTTCCACTGATTTTACTTAAAAGTTGTATTTGCACACATTAACTTCAAGTGCACTGGGCACTATCTATAATCTTTCATTCCATATTGACAAAAATAGATCACTAAAATTTAACAAACTTGTTTTGATCTATTGTGATTTTTCATGGATATTCGTCAAATCCTGACAATGGTAAAATCAAACAGACAAAATACATTTCATGTTGAATTAAACTTCTCCTTTCAAATATGTCCAGAAAATACAGCAAATAATCTGCTCTGTTCATTATTACACAAATCTCTATACAACAAACCTTTCTGATGTCTTCAATAAAGCTTTGTTTATCACCCTTATATTTGGTTTCTTTTGGTCCACTAATATGTTTTGATGCCTGAATTCTTTCTTCTTTTAATGATGATAAACATCTAGCAAATACAGCTTCTCCTGTCAAAAAAATATTTTTAAAAAATCACTTTTCTTCTAAAAGGAATATATCTTTACTATGTGAAGCATTTAGATGTAGGTATGTGAATTGAGAGTCTTTCTGTTATATAAATTGAACAGTAGATATAATGAAGAGTTGGAAGCAATAGAAAGATATTTTTTTTAAAGATACAAGCTTAAAGGGACAGTTGCACCAATCATATTTATAATTTAGCAATAGCCATTTAGTAATAGTATTCACAGCTCACTGTCGAAATTTGAGCCTTTAAATCCATGTGTGTCCAGACATTTATAGAAATTGTGAGTAAAGTTTGTGATATTTTTAAAGTAATTATGCGATTTTCAAACATTTCTAGTATTCTGAAGACTATTTGCATATATTCAACACCCACATCAACCCATTAAAATGGCGCACCAGTTCTATTAAGCTAAATACAAAATATGATATTGATTAAAGGCACCATCACACCATATTGAACACCAATTGCGTATGATTACAAATAATGAAAGTGGTCATGAGTTTTGCACACAAATCAACTCAGTCACATGAGAGTTGCTTATGACCACTATAATGCCATGTTAATTATTTGTGTTAATCCGATGATGTGAACACAATAACTTTCTACAAACCTATTAATGTTACAGGAACCCCAAATTCTAGTGAAGATATAGCAGTCCATTTTCCAGTGCCTTTCTAAAATAGAAATTTAAAGGTAAATTCTATGAAATATGTTACTCAATATTGCAAATTAAATATTGCACATTATATAATCAAAAGAAGTCTAATGTTTTCTGTCTGTGAATGCAATAAGATAACCTTTCATAATAACTATATTTTATTTCCATTTTGCCAATTGCCAAAAATCCAAATTTATTAAAAATATAGCTTGCCAGGCAAGGTAACATACGCTCACTGATAGCTTTGATTGTAAGTACAAGTCTTTGTTTGCTGCCAATTCAATTATAGCCTGTAGAGTGAGCACGAGTTGCACAATATAGCTAATAGATATAAATATTACACTATTTAACGATTATCCAATCATCACAAAAATCGATAGGGATCATCTTTATAATGACATTGACACACAAAATCAAGATAGCTTGCCAGGCAAGGTAATATACGCCAACTGCCAGCCTTGATTTTGAATAAAAATATTTAGCAGTACAGTAACAATCACCAGTATGAAATATTCAACCTTCAATCATACACTTCTTTTGAACTCTTTAGGGCGATACTGAATAATATTGAGTACGAGTTATTGCCCTTGTTCTTGAAAACGTGTTCAATTTTTAGCTCGTAAAAACTCTAGAAGGCAATTATCTCTTCAGTGCGGGACTGAATAATAAATCCAAGTTTTGTCAAAATCCAGCAAGAATCATGCCTTTTAGTGTTTAAGAGCTAAATTTGAAAGCATTTTCAAGAACAAAGGCAATAACTCATCCTAAATATTTTTCAATTTTTCAATAAGGTTCATTCTTGGGTGATTACGAACAATTACACAAAGTTTCGTCAAAATCGGTCAAGAATTGTGTCTGGTAGAGCGTTTACGAGCAATTGTGGACGAACGGACGGACGGACATGGATGACGGCAATATACGCCCCCCATTTCATGTGGGCGTATAAAAATCAAAAGAACTTGTAAAGAATTGTCACCTGTGGATTGAACACAAGTTGCACAATATAGCTAATAGAGTGAAACATCAAGTCAGACACGATATTTCGGTGAAAAATTATCCAAAATAACAATAAGCTTAAATTACCAAGTTTCACCAAAATTAGATAAAAATTTCAAATGACTATTGCTTGTAGAAAGCAAATTTTTGTATGCTTCTGTACAAATGTGTTTTTGGATTTAGTATGCCATGTAAGGCTGTAATTCAATAATCAAATGAGATTTATCTTCAGGTGTTTGATTTTAATTCACAGTTAATGTTTAGCGAGAAATCATATGAGTTCTATGATGTCATGAAATGGTGACAAATTTAACCAATACAGGATAAACAGAAATCAATTTCAACACAATCTTTAGATGGGCATATTGATATTTAAATGTAAACAATACAATCAAATAAAATCAAACTTCACCATACAGGTTAGGTTAATTTAATCTATAGATTTTTCCCTACTAATTAACTAAACAGTATCATCATGTGAAAATTTATGATTACAATGAACATTTACTCAAATTACTAAAAGATTTGGACAAACAACTTGTCAACCAACATTTTAATGATCAGACACGCTGATAATTTACGATCTTTTCAACAAGAAAATAATATTTTTTCATAGATTTGCTACCAGACAAAATGTCCTGCTTAATAAACTAGATTTTACCGGACATTTGCAGAAATTCTATCAGACAATGTCCGTGTATTACCAGCCTTGATTATGTTTTTCATGTTTTGATCTTGCCTTCTGAAAAAAATCTGTACATAGTCTGTTATATCTTTAGGCTTGGTCCATCAGTGGAATAAATTCTATAAATATTCTCTATCTTTGAGACAAAAATTGGCAGTAAAATTTTTTATCTACCATCTAAACTATTATTAAACCTGACCTGTCCTGCTGTATCTCTTATTTTCTCAACTAAATAGTCTCCATCTTTATCTTTAAATTGTAAAATATCTCTAGTTATTTCTATCAAAAATGATTCCAATTCACCTTTATTCCACTCATCAAAGGCCTACAAAGGAAATCAATATTGATAATCCATTCAATTAGCAAACGCCAACTTAATTAAGTAAAACAAACCTTCATGACATATATTATCAAGCCATCATCAAGATAAAATCTCTTTTCAGCTTCAGCTAAGCTGTTTACCCCGTTTGCACTGAATTTTTAGTGAGATTTCTGCCTCGAGAGGTTGTGAGGAAAATATCTATTCTGTTTGATATTTTCTGCCTCTGTCTGAAGATTTTACCAGAATTTTCATGTCTTTTTGATAGCCTACAAGAGCCAACTGATTGGAATGAAAAAACTGAATTGGAGATAAGAAACAAACTACTATGATTAATAGATGCTTTATTTTTGTTTTTTCACTTTTTTGACAGTGACAGTATTGTACAAAATATTGGTATTTCATATTTTGTGTACAATATAATGATGACCATGTTTAAAGGTCCAGGTAGGCCATTTTTTTTCACCAATCATACTTTAGTCTCAGTTTTTAAGCTAAGCCAATTAGTTATAGTGTTCAAAGTTCACCGTCAAATTGAATGTTAAAATGACAACTCGACAATTTAAAATACTCTGTGATATATAGAAAAGACAAATATAGAAATAGTGAGTAAAATTCCTAGGTTGAAGTATTTTTAAAGGAATAATGTGATTTTTGTACATTTTTACTATTTCTGAAGTCTATCTAAATATATTCAAGATCAGACATCAGACAAGAGAGATATTTTTGAATAATTGAAAGAATTTGCTTTGAACCTCTGAATATATTCTGGATATTTAAAACACATAATTATATGCAAATATTAGTATGTATATAGCTTACCTTAGTCATTTCTGGATGTGTCAGGCCTAATGCATCCTTCATTAAATGGTAGGCTTCACAACATAACTGCATGTCACCATACTCAATACCATTATGTACCATTTTAACAAAATGGCCTGCTCCTTCTTCTCCAACCTGGAAAAATATATCTTTTGTTTAGAATTAATCCTGATTAATCTTCTGAACAAATTGATTCTGACATGCTTCAAAAGGGAAATAACCAAAAATCATTAAATGACTTATTAACTTAAAACGTGAAATCTAATCAATCTACTACAGCATACCAAGAGCTTCAAAGAAAAGGCACTAATTGACATACCCACACATAGTTCATATCTTTTTTTTTAAAGAAACTGAACAATCATTAAACGAGTTTCACAACAAAAAGACACTGACTCATACTTATAGTTACATATGATTTAGTCATGGCTGATAACAAAAATTTCAGCAAGTTTCATTAAAATCTATCAAGAATTGTGCCTTATTTCATAAGACATGGACAATAACTCATATTAAATATTTCAAAAAGGGTTCAGCCATAGTCTGTCTTAATTACCATTAACATTGTCGATTGATTGTTAGACACTATCAACCAGTATCTCAGACAAGTTTTCCCATATAAGGTCATTAGTACAATGGAATAAGCTTACCGAAACTAAATCAAAACCAAAATCATTAGAGTGACTCCAATCCATTGGTGATGATGTACAATTTCACCAAGATCTATCAACATTGTTTTGAACTGTGTTTTTAGAATGTTTTCAAAATATTTCATGTTTGCTGTTTGTAGAATATTTCTACATGAATGAATGGCGTAGAATGAGCAAGAAAATCTAATTTAGTTATTACCCAATCACAACATGGCTCTTTGCCAACTTTAGCTGAAATGGACTGAAATATTTCTTTTATAGCTGGCCTGAAAAAAATAAAAGGATTTGAAATGTTATGACGGACACACTCTTAGTGAGTTTTCCGATTGGTGTCTTCATTGCTGGCAACAAATGGCTGTTAGCTATACGGCAACATTACTGTAGTTATGTATAATCGTCTTTGAGGAAATTTGAATCAGAAGCCAATCTGAAACCTGGTTTGTCAACTCAACAAGAGAGGTCCACATCCATGGAACTTATAATAATATCTGATAGGTTCACGACGACAAACTTTGACAAAGATCATCCATTGACAGATAGATTTTGGAAGTAAATGAGTCTTGTGTGTTAACAAGTTAGTATATCAAAATTTAAGTACATACCAAGCTTGTGGATTCCCACCAGGCATAAGTGAAGGTCCATATCTGGCTCCATCTTCCCCTCCACTAACACCACTTCCAATAAACAATAAACCTTTACCAGATAGAGCATTACATCTTCTCTAGAAATATATAATATAATTACCAATTATTGTTCTGATATTACCTTCATCTTACAGAATAATCTGATGGTGTTGTGTATTGACAATTTTCTTGAAATAAGGTAAAACTGCTGTATTAGATTAGTACTTAAGTAGTTGATATCATGATTTATTCTTTGAAAGCATAAACACAAAAAATATACCAATAATAGATAATAAGAACATTAAAAATGGGATTCCTTATTTTTTTTAGTGTCAAATTAAGCAAATCATTTGATCAATTGATATTTCTAATAAATTATCATGTAATCTTAATCATCATTATGTTCTTCTTGTATATAATTGAGAGTTGTAACCAATCATAAATGTATGAACAGACTTTTTGACCATTCTTGATCGGTCACTCATCGGAATTCTACTGGTAATTCTCCTCTAATTTAGCTAATATGAATTAATTATGGACATGTGAGACAAACTGGTATTTTTCCAAGTCATTAAAACACCTAAACTTTCTATTCATATAAGTTTTAGCATTTTCATTTTCAAGGCAACCCATATTTAAATGAAAATAAGGGAACCCATATTTAAATGAAAATAAGGGAACCCATCTTTGGTAGTCAAATTGTTTTTGTATAGTTGTGCAAATTTCAGATAAAATTTTAACTGAGTCATTGCATGTGCATTGTAATATCTGTTAGGTTTAAAAATATCTTCTATATTAAATAATGTACCTTTGACTTGTTGTTACTGAGTTAAAAGTCGTTGAAGAGAAAGGCAAAGCCTAGGGATTGCCTTTTGCAGGCTTAGTTTTTAAGCTAACAAAACAGGTAAGGTAAAGTAATATTTATATTCAAGATTTTTCAAGTTATAATGTCAGCCTTTTGTCTTCCTCACGCTTTCTAAACTTGGTAATCCTTGATTAAATATGCCAAAAATCCTAGCCAAAATGTATCAAGTTTTTCTAGGCTTAAATCAAAACTCATTATAAATTGGAAAGACAATTGTCTTTTTTATTCCATGGGGTTTAGACTCAAGCTATAATAAACCATTTAAACATTAAAATCAGCCATGACTTGTCATATCATTGGTATTTATGAAATAAAAATGTTCATTATAGAGAAAAGGCAATAATTCACTTGCAAGTTTTTTTTATTTTTTGACTTTCATTAGTGTACGTCATAAGGCAGTAATAAACAATTTCACAATATTTCCTCATATTGTCTGTCAAACTTGTGTCCTTTGTCTGGTGTACAAGAACAAGGGCAATAATTTTAGACATTTCTGTTTTTCATTTTTGACAGGATCCATCCTCTGCTAATTAAAGCCTGCCGCAGACGAGAGGAACTAGCTGAGCTGCCTGTCTTGAGAGACTGTCAGCTGACCAACATTCTCACTACTTATTTCACTGCAGACAAGAGCTCTCGTTTGAGCTATTGTCTAACTACAAAATCATCGACCGATTCCGTACGTGAAGATAACTACCAAAGAACGATCGGACAACATAGGTGTCACATCACAGATCAGAATGACCTTATTTTCCTGTTTTGGAATTCTGCAGAAAAACAACATAAAAATCATCTGAAATCTCATCAAAAAACACACCAAACTTCGTCTAAATTGGATCAAAGCTTTAGTCTTTATTACTTTTCATATTTAGATTGAAAATTGGAATGGTATCAATCATAAATGTGTACAGGTCAAGAAAAAAAAATCTGGAGATTTGGTGAAAAGTCAGGAGATTTTTCCAAAGCACGTAAATTCATGATTTTGAAATTCCAAATTGATTATTTTTTTTTCAAATAAAGCCTTAAGCCTTGTAAATTATATAAATTGATCATAGGCCTACATGACACAGTTACCTTAATTAAAATTAACAAATCTATGTATAGGGATAGGCCTACTCAGGCAAAATAATTCTAGAAATAGTGACTGATATTTCAAGTTTTTGTCATTCTTCAGTAATGATTGAATCAAAAATAATGTCAAGGTGAAATGGTGTGAAATGAAAACAAGCAAGCAAGCATGATCCCAGCCCTCTAATTTAAATGGTACCGGTAGGCCTACATCAAACATGTAATACAGTCAAGTAACCTAATTTCGTACTAACCTATTTTTCGTGCATTTCCAGAAATGATTAATAATTTACATGTGCGACCTCGCGTGACCTCCGCATTTGATTGTTTCAATAAACATGTGTTATCTCTAAAATATCAGCTAGTAGAATGAATCCAGTTGTATCAAGCAAGGTAAAATGTATTAATGTATTGACAAATACAAAATGGCGGATTTCACTTATTACCAAACGTCACCATTTTTATCGGCCGAATTTCCTTATAATCCCAAGCGGTAGTCTGCTAGAATGTAGTCCAACGAATGAAGTCACATGATCAACTAGCGGATTCCATGTCAGCAGAAAATTTCTATGGAACACAAAATGGGCCATACTCTTATGTTGTTTCAGTGACTTTTAGCAATAAATCACGCTACGTATCATATTTTGTCAGTCACTATTTTTTTTTAAACCGTGGTTCTTTGAAGGAATTGTCATTAGTTATAATGAATTGATATTAAAGATAAATACTAAGAGAAGTTAATTATACCACCCGGTATCCATACAACGTGTTTTTCTAGACTTATCTATAGATCAACCATTGTACACGAAAATAGGTGACGCATTCTGCCGCCATTGCCAAGTTGGTTACTCATGAAATAGGCTGAACAATTATTCGCCACCCTCATTTTTATTTGCCAACCTTTTTTAAAACTTTAATTTCTCTGAAGACTGACATTATTAGCTGTGAAGGCTATAGCGTTACATGCACTATAATGTTTTTTTATGTTCATTAGAAACGCTTATTTACAATTCCTTTCCGAAAAATGTACGAAACAAGTATTGGCGGTGGTAAACAAGATGTGAGGGTGGTGAACAAGAGCTGGAAGTGGTAAACAAGAGCTTAAGGCAGTGAACAAGATTTTTGGGTAGTAAACAGGAGCTGGGTTAAGGAATAACAACTAGGGTGGTAAACAAGAGCCGAGGGTGGTTAACAAGCGCCGAGAGTGGTTAACAACAACAAGAGCTTTGGCGGGTGAACAAGAGCTTAAGGTGGTTAACAAAAGTTGAGGTTCGCAAACAAGAATTGTGAGTGGTAAACAAGTATTGGGGTGGTAAAAAAGAGTTGAGGGTGGTGAACAAGAGCTGGAAGTGGTAAACAAGATCTGCGGGTGGTAAACAGGAACGGAGTGTGTACTTGAGTTTGAGTATTCTAAACTTAAAATAACGGAATAAGATGTGATCAAGATCTATTTTGGGTGTTTCTGAAGAAGGCAGTAAGACGAAACGTCAAATGACAGGACAATAATATAGTTTTAATTGGTTTCCCCTTTTTGGGAATTTGTGATATAATTTGGAATCTTATTATTGATGACAATAACAGAATAGAATCATTTAACCAGAAGATAAAGCAATCTGTCTCAAGTCTTTACCCAAGTTTGGATAAAGTTATTATGTCATTAATAAAATTCGAAGAACAACACTATTCTTTAGTGGATAAAACACTTTTCGATGACATCATGAAACCGAGATTGGTGAAGGATGAAGATGAGCCTACATTATCCATTGCTTAACGCCACCTATCCCAACCTGTAATGAAATTGGTTGAAAATGATTGTAGCTGTAGTTTTTTCAAACAACAGCAAGAAACATGGGAAACCGGTTCAAGGCCGTCAAAATATCTGATCTTCTAAATCGTTGGGTAACGGTTCCCACCGGTCTCAATCTTACAATCAAACAAAAACCGATGGTGATCCTAATAATACTAACGATACAGAAACCCAAGAATTACCAGAGTCTTCAGGAGTCACCGAATTCTCAGTTAATCCCATAAGTGACGAGAAGGAAAGTAACCAAAACCAATACCAATACCAATAATTCTAACGAAGCCGATAACAAAGTGCCACTGGAGATTTCGACTGACCCTATATTCACAATCGTCATTCTACCGTACTACCAGAAATTCTTTAAAACTTACCTCTGCTGAGAAGTATAATAAATGTAACCTTTTGGGGCAGTCATTCGGCCAGACATTATCAATATTAAGCCAAGAAAAATTTGATATCAAATATAATGTGCTTGAAGGAATATATACTTCTTGGACTATCGATTTATCTTCTTTAAAAGAGATACCGAGTGTTTCAATTTCTAGAAGAAAGGTGAGAGGTCGACCAAAAGATTCTCGTTCAAAGATGTCTAAGAAGGAAAGTACGAAAAAGGATCGTTCAGAAAGAGATGAAGAAACGAATCTATTCATTTGATTGCCATGGACATTAAAGCATTGGATCAACCATTATCGGAAACTACGATGAATCACTTTATCGATCTCCTAAGAAAAAGGTATCCAACAGTTGCTGGCCAGGAACATAGACCAAGCTGATAATTTCCAGTTTAAGAGACATTCAGGGACGTTCATTCAAATTATTTCCTACCAGGTGATCTGTATGTGACTGTACATGGAGATGGTGAAAATCACAAATGTGACTTGTATACAACGTTTACCCTTCAGGTTCAAAAAAATCCAGAAATCGTTGAAGAAACAGATAAAATAGACTCTGAGTCTTGGACATTGCTTATGAATGTTGAAACATTAATGAATCATGAAAGTTCTGATTCAAAATGTGACATTTCAATTTTACAAGCTAATAGTTGCGAGAAAATAAATTCTGGAGTTATAGCAATTGCAGTAGCAAATGAATTATGCCGAAGCCTCAAATGTACACGAAACTTCAAAGTCAAGGCCAGTCATTTACATCTTGAACAGTGCTTGATAAAGAATCAAATATCACAGTTCCCAAGATCCATACAGATAAGCAGTCCAGAACAAGTAAATCTGTCACTCAAGGTCTATTGTTATTGCAGACTGCCATCGCTAACCAGAGACATAGACTCAATAGATCCTGAAACCATGATTCAATGTGACAACTGCACTGAATGGTTTCATGAAAAATGCATTAACTATGACCAAGAGGATAAATTCGTTTGCGCATCGTGCGAGAATGTTATATTGGATAAGTCGGAAGATCATGAAAATGATTTGTTCAAAATTTTCATAAAAGAGACGTAAATCTTCGATTAGAGACGGAATGAAATTTTCAAGGGTCAAACACATACTGACATAAGATTTACTGAAATATCGTGAAGTCGATCGCAACACTATAAAAAGAAATGAATCGGCTTTAAGTGACCTAATGGCATCAATAAATTATGAGGGAATCCTTTTACCACTTTAATTGGCCGTCAAGAAATATTACGATAGAGAAAGGGGCGGCATTCATGCACCTCAACTTGCCATGGGTGCCATTGAAGACACACTACAACTTCGCCAGAAACGCCAAGTTCCTTATGTCCCACCAGAAATGAATGATCCGTCCCCTTTGGATTTTGGATTTATCATCAAAGAAAAATTCAAAAACTTGCCAAAATGGGGAGGCTCTGGAGTAAACGAAAAAGGAGTGAAGATGCAGTTCCAAAATACATGTACAATTGATAACATTTTGGCAATATCATGTGTCAGTGGCGAAGTATTTATGGAGAGATTGAAAGATTTGTCTCTATCATCTGTCCTGTCAAGAAACCAATCAAGTACAGTACGCAACTTGCTTGAAACTCTGAACTTACTGAATGCTGGACTTATGTTTGAGGCAAAATACAAAATATTGTGAAACACAACAAGAATTTCAGTTTCAGTGAATATGAACACATCATCCAAAGATATACTTTCCTAATGGACACGAAAGAACATTTTGAATGTAACAATTCAGTCTGTGAAGAACAATTCAAAACTGGTGCTTTCGGCAGAAGGAATGTGGCAGGTCTTAGGTCCGTTCCATCACCAGCTGACTCCCGATTTTTGAAGAGTGTGGAAGACTGGCACAAGTGTCCCATGGCGAAACCAAAAAAATGTCACAATTGCAAGAGTTTAATGGAATTCCGCCGAAATTGGAAACATGGTCCTTCTGTTTTCATTATTTACCAATTGTGCAAGTATGATTTGGGAGAATTATTTTGTGACTGCTTTCCGCAATCATACAATCATGCAAGAAAAGTTCTTCTTGGCCGGAATAACAATATACAAAGGAAGCCACTTTACAGCTAAATTATTATTGAATGATAAGTGGTTTGATTTCGATGGTTTGGGTTCTGATAACATTAACCCATCGCATTCTTTATGACAGAATGGAAATTTGGGAAGTGTAGTGTATGTATCAAGATAAACAGCTGTGTTGGTGAATGTCAACTATAATGTCGAGTATATGTAATCGATGGAACTCGGTATAATAGATGTTTTTTCCTAACAAAATAGATAATATCTGTATAATATTATATTTTTATAAGTAATCGATGAAACTCAGGATAATAGATGTTTTTTCCTATAAATTTATAATAAATTGAATCTCTCAGTGTCCCCGATACACATAAAAAATTCAGAAAACCTCTTTACAATCCCTTTATTTTTGACATATTTTTCCTTTGTCAAGGTGGAAAACCCAAATCAAAAATTTGTTTTTTTTAAGTTGAAATTTTATGAATATTGTCCTTTAATGAAATTTTTAGATTATATAATAAGACAATATAATCTATGAAGCTATAAATCCACATACAAGCTGTCTCTTTCATATCATCAAATATTTCAATCAAGTGTGAACTCAATCTGTCGCCTAATTATACAGTAACATAATTTCATAACACCAGTTTTTATAGAAGAATTTATAACAGGTCATGACTGGTCTTTGGTAATAAGTTTTAACTCCCACAGCTCTTGTATGTGGACATACATTGTCCCCTCTAACACCTTTCTTATCTTGGTCCATTTTTACAAATACACCACGAAGTCAGTCCCTAGTTACAACCTTAAATTCCTAGTTGAAAAATTGCAATTTCGACTAGTTGAAAAGAATTTGCAACTGCTATGCAAATAAATCAATGTGCTATTCAGTTATTAACTATGTAAATTTATGTATATTAAATATATTATGCAGAACATACTTCAATGTATTCATCTATAAAAACTTTTCAATAAAGGAACTTTCAAAGATATGCATTTAATTTATGATGCAAAATTTCACTAATAGCCTAATACTACATATTCCACGCATGATAAAAGCTTGATTGTTGATTCTAAATCAGTAAAGGACATGTTCTCTTTAGGACCCTTAAATTTAACTTTCCATAAAGCTAAACTAAAAAAATTTTAGTAGCGAGCACCATGTTTTATTATACAATAACTTGCATAAGGGTTTTCAACTAGTTGAAAAAAAAAACTCGATGAAGACTGGTGAATAAAATTCGACTGACGATTTTGACTAATTGTGACGACTTCAAACCTGCTTACAAATGATAACTTCCTTCAGTGTCATTTTAAAGTTAAATCATCTGTAACCAATTCAATATGTACTCTAAACTATCAAATTCTTCCTTTCTTCATAATATTGACTAATATCAGGGTACAACCACACCAAATAATAATTTCAAAACATTTCACACACACTCCAACAAGACAAAATATCTTTCAAAACTATCAAAACAAAGGAATAGATACAGGGCCCAGTCGTAGGTGCTTGATATTTTTCAAGCTTTTTTCAATACCTAGTTGACTGGATTTATTGTCTTTATTGGGGATTCTATTGTATAGTTATGACACTAGGTTAGGCCTAGGTTAGGTGAGAATGATTGACAGCTGAATATTTACCAATCCTCTTAAAATCAGCCAAAGCATGTTTTACCCACAAACAACAAAGCGTGTGTCATAAATGAAATTTAAATTTCTATAACTCATGTGTATCTGACAAAACAGTATTGAGGTGTGTGTGTGTGGGGTACTTGCAACGCAGATGAAAGATATCCAGAAAGATTGGACGTAGTACATTTTGTACACCATTTTGTGTGTTAGTGGTTTTGTGAATTCTCCAACAGGAAAATCATAATCCAATAAAGGATTATATAAATAAAGTTTTATCTTTGCTACATGATTTTGGCCAAGTTATTTTTGCTCTAGTCTCCTTGTTTATATTATGTTTTAACCTGTTAGGACGAAAATCCAATGATAAGATTTGTCTCATCAAATGAACCATAATTTAATGTCCTTATACTTATTAATTAATCTACCAAATATAATCGAACAAGTCATCTAACATATTACTTATTATTTTTTTGTAAATGTTTTAACAAAATATTATTTTGAGACAATATTCAAAGATAGCTTGCCAGGCAAAGTAATATATGCCCAGTGGCAGCTTTGATTTTAAACGAAAATATTTAACAGTACAGTAACAATTATCAGTATGAAATATGCAACCTTTAGTCATACACTTCTTTTGAACTTTTTGGGGTGTAACTGTATATTACCAAGTTTTGTCAAAATCAAAATCTGTCAAGAATTGAGTCTTCTAGAGTGTTGGATGTGTTTTTAAGAACAAGAGCAATAACTCAAACTAAATATGTTTCAACTCTTTTGATTTTCGATAGGGTTCATCCTTGGGAGATTACGAACACTCACACCAAGTTTCGTCAAAATCCATCAAGAATTGCACCTTCTAGAGTGTTTACGAGCGTTTCAAGAACAAGGGCAATAAATCATACTAAATATTATTCGATTTTTCTGATATTCAATAGGGCTTATCCTTGAGTGATTGCAAACAATCATACCAAGTTTAGTCAAAAGCAGTCAAGAATTGTGTCTTGTAGAGCTAGCTAGATGATGAACTTTGATTGTGAAAATTGTACTTTTATGTTGGCA